CCCACCACCTGCTGCTACAAGTGACCACTGCCATCATGACTCTGGGTACTTGCTGTCATGCTGTAGTAGATTGACAACTGGTGGTCAACTTATAACCCCCAGCTGAACTGAGTGAGTGGTGGTGGGTGTGGGAGGCCCACCTGAGAACTGTTGCCAGCAGCATAAGAGGCAGACCTGGAGAAGAAGAAGCAGGCTGTTGGGAGCTGAGAGAAGCTGTTGGGAGCTGAGAGAGACGGTGGGGAGCTGGCTTCCTGATGAACTTGGCTGTTTTCATCCTCCGAGGAGCTCAGGACCTCGCTGGCACTGAGAATGGCTTTGGTTCACTTTGGGGAGCTCTGGTCCTTACTTGAGCATAGCTTCCTGGTTCCAGAGGGGAAGATGATGCACTGCCCGACTCTTGGAAAAGCTTGCTGCATTGGCTTCCCTGATGGGAACTCAGCCATCCTGATCATTGGAGGAGCTTGGGACCTCACAGTTGCCGAGGATGGCTGTGGTACCTTTTGGGGGAGCCCTGGTTCTTCTGAGCATCACTTCCTGGCTCCAGTGCAGATCCCTCAGCCTGCTAGCACAGATCCTTCTTCCTGCTGGCATAGACTTTGTAGATTCCACCACTGACCTTTGGGCCTTTCCAGCAGATCCGTGAAACAGGCCTGCATGGGACGTTGTCATGGGTTCTGGGCCTCCAGTTGGATTCATGGGAGGCATTATTATGAGCTCTGGGTATTTAGCTCAACTCATGTAGGACATTGTTGTGGGATCCAGGCCCTCAGCTGGATTCCTTGGTCTTAGCGTGTGGACAGATTTCCTGCACTCTTTTGTATACTGTTCTTTGGGTGACTTATAAATAATCATATAAAGTATGTGTCCTGTATTATGTTGTTCCCCTTGCAAAATAAGCCACCCCAAACCGACACACATGCACAGTACACTTCCTACTCCAGTTGCTCACCTTATGTCCAAAAAAAGGGTGTGGAAAGCAGGGTGTTGTAACACAGGGAGGTATTTTAAAAAGCAACGTATGGCTACATGCTGTGTAAGAAAAAATGAGGTTGAGGGTAAGAAGAGAGTTAAGTGAATAACTGATACTTGCTGTATAAGATAAAGGCAGAAAATAAATGATCATCCTAATGCTTTCTGAAACCCCAGGAAGTAGCTAACTTTAAATGTAAGTATTTCCTGTATTGTGGTTTTTTTATTTTCTAAATGGAATATTATGAGTACTATTCACTAGCTTCAAGACAATTTTTTAAAGGTTATTACATAGGCCACTTGTAAAGTCAAGAGCTATATCACTGACACTGCTTTATTTCTAAGATTAAATTTAAAAATCTTAATGATATGCAACACAGAATTTACTTATGCTATTTTTATATTTTTTCTTTAAGCAAAAGAAGTTACTTTTTAAGTAAGAATTTTGGTAATAGATCTTAGTCCAGGTGAGAAAGAATGAGGAGGATGGGGTCTGGTTTAGCCACTGATACTTAACATGGAGTTCAAATAACTAGACAGAGGCAAAAACTACCAAGAATAAAAACCAGCTTGGAGCTCACAGGGAAAATATGTGAATATAGTCAGTTATCTATATAAATTATTTTCTTTGGCAATTTAAATCATGATTATTAAGTAATGTGAGTGGCAGTTGTTCATCAGTATTTTGTCAAATGTTTCCATGGAGAATAAAACTACTTGTAAGATATTCTTGAAATTCATGATGTGAGAATGGTAGTGGGAGAGGGAAAAGGAGGAAGGGAGAGAAAGAAAGAGAAAGAAAGGGAATGCCTTATATTTAGGTACTAAAATAGTAAAAAACTTAAGTTTTTCCTCCTTTGGTTAGTGTTATGGTTTGTGTCTGTGTGTCTCCCCAAAACCTCATGCAGTCATGGGGTGGGCTTCTAGAGTCTGTGATTGATCCATGGTCCAATGTTGGGATTATGGGTATGAGTGCTACACCCACACCGGAGCAGACAGCCTGAATACAATATAAGGGAGGGAAAGAGGCTTTCTCTTGCTCTCCTTCCTTTTTCTTCCTGTTGCTTTTTTTTTAAGTTTTAAAGAGAATAAAAAAGAACAATAAAGATGATACAGAATTTCAAAACAAGATGATAGGAAATTAACAGTGGTTATTATATTGTATATTGTTATCTTCAAACTAGTTGCTCAGATTACCAGATATAGGCATGTAAGATTGATCAAACACTATAAACACTAACTGTTCCTTTCAATGAACTAATAGAAATTAGTAGTACTTAGCTATCTTATATGTGTGTGTGTGTGTGTATATATATATATTCCTTCTTTTTTTCTTTTCCCATTCCAATTGTTCTTTCCTTTTGAGCAGTTTCTTTCTCTTTCATAATATCTATTGCACGTTTTGGATTTTATTTACTCTTTCAGTTTCTTACACTAGGGAGACAATACAGTGTTTATATATGTGGGTCTGATTTATTTCACTTATGAGTATAGTCTCTAGTTGCATCCATTTACGTATAGAAGCCTTGAGTTTATCTTTCTTTATAGCTGAGTAATACTCCATTGTATCAAAATACCACATCTTTTTTATCTATTCCTCAGTTGATGGGCCTTTGGGTTGTTTCTAAGATTTAGCTATTACAGATTGTGCCGCTATTCCACTGCCACAAACAGTTGCCCCTCAGCCACACCACCCTGCCTTGGAGCTACCTGGTTACAGACTGAAACCTCCACAAACTGTGAGCTAAATAAACCTTTCTCTCTTTAATTTTGGGTGTTGGGTATTTTGTCTCAGCAATGAGAGAAAAGTAAACCAGACAAAATTGGTACCAGCAGAGTGGGATCATTGGTGTGATACCTAGCCATATGTCTTAAGAGCCTTGGGAATTAACTTGGAAAGGTTTTGAGAAACTGGCCTAGAAGCAGCCCCTATGAGCTGTAACCTATATGGAAGACTCTGCTCAGGGCCTGGAAAATCAGAGCATTGATGGGAATGCTGCTGGTTAAGATGAGGCTCAGGAGGCTTCCCTTGAGAAGAACTGCATTGGCTGCTGGATCCCAGGTAGCATACTGTGCTTTGGCAGGAAATTGGTCTGCATTTTGCTTGTGTTTAGAGGTACTGCCTGGGAGCAGAAACATTTCAGTGCAGTCCACTGTTGGGACATTGGCATGGTTACTGTTGAGAGCTTTTGGCCAGCCAAATCTATGTTTGAAATTAAGAGTAAAGAGCCAGCATGGTGATTTGAAGCATTTGGTCAGAGGGAAGGCTGTAGTGGAGCTGTGGATTGCAAGGTTGGAAAATGGGAGAACATGGCTGTTGAGAAGAACAGGACAATGGAAAAATGAACTGAAGACTTTCACCTGAATATAAGAGTGTATCTGCATTGCAGGAGATTCCTGTTTTTTAGTCTTGCCATGACGTATGGTTAAAAGTTAATGGGAAGCAAGGACTCTGATTGTAATAGTTCTTTTAATATGATTTTAATGTCATTTTTAGATATGTTTGTAATCAGATTAATTAGTCAAGGTATTATGTTTTAACCTTGAGTTTTGACCACCCTTTAAGTACTTTACTTTTTGTGCAGAAATGAGTGCAATAAGAATTGTATATATGTAACTTTTATATTAATGTAAATCTGAATAGAACAAGACATGTTAACTTTTCACAAATCTGCCACTAGAGACTATGGATTAAGGAAATGTGTACAGTTATCAAGTTGACTAGGAGTAGATTGTGGTGGATTGACAATTGGTGGTCAACTTATAACACCCAGCTGAACTAAATCAGCGTGGAGGAGGGCCCACCTGCCAACAAAATAAAAAGGAGAACTTGAGAGAAAGAAGTAGGGCTGTATTTTTCCTGGAGGAGCTTGTTATGCTGGCTTTCCTGATACGAACTTGGCTGTTCCCATCATCAGAGGAGCTTGGGACCTTATTGTCTCTGAGAATAGCTATGGTTCACTTTGGGGGAGCTCTGGTCCTTACTTTGCGCATGGCTTTCTGGCTCCAGAGGGGAAGATAGTGCATTGTTCAATGTCCTGGAGAAGCTTGTTGCACTGGCTTTCCTGATATGAACTCGGCTCGTCTCATCATCAGAGGAGCTTGGGTCCTTGCCATCGCTGAGGATGGCTGTGGTACTTTTGGGGGAATTCTGGTTCTTAAATCCAGTGTTGCTTCCTGGCTCCAGTGAAGGTCCCTCAGCCTGCTAACACAGATCCTTCATCCCAGTGACACAGACTTTCTAACTTCCACCACTGACCTTTGGGCCTTTCCTGCACACATCCATGAAACAGCTACATGCTGTGGGCTCTAGGCCTCCAGACCTCCAGTTGGACTCCTTGGGGGGCATTGTCATTCAGCTGGACTCATCCAGAACATTGTGATGGGATCCCGGCCCTCAGCTGGATTCTTTGGGTCTTCAGGGTGTGGACAGATTTCCTGCACTCTTTTGTACTTGACTCTTTGGGTGACTACTATAAAATAATCCTATAAGTTATGTGTCCTGCATTAAATTATTTCCCTTGCAAAATCCTGACTACAACGGTTAGACTTTAGTTCAAACTTTCTTGTACTAAAATGTAACCAAGTGTCAGATTAGAGGGATGTTCTAGTACTTTATCAGGTCAATATAAGGGAGAAATCCGCTGACTGATAAACTGGTTTAGCAATCAACTTATGTTAACTAGCAAGGTAAAACCTGCTTCCCACAGGCATAGGGCAGCTTTCTCCTGCCATGGTTTGGGATCTCTCCACATCAAGACATTCAGGAGGAAATGTGAGATGTATGAAATCCAAGGTGGCAGCCACAGCACACCGAGCATCCTGATGCAACTGAGGCATTCACCAATCGTCTAGGAGTTTCTAAGTGTTAGCCAAGTTTTGAACAGTCAAATTGTAAACTTTTAAAGTTTTAACCTAAATACTGAAAAGGGAGAGGAGCAAGAGGCGTGACGATAACATAGTCACAGATTTAACTGCATTTTTAAAAGGAGCAGAGAAAATCCAGGCAAAAATCACTGGTGTCAACTTACTGCTCTCTTCCACGTAGAGCCTCATCCGGGTCCTTGCACTGGCGGCGGCGCTGCCTGGTGGAGGTGGCAGAAGAAGCTGATGAAGATCCCGACTCTGAATCTTCCGAGCTTTGCCCTCCAGCATTATTAACATCAAAAAGATGCTGTTCTACAGCGGTCCGGATGGTTCTTTCTAAGAGTCTGGTTACAAAACAAAAAGCAAACAACGAGCCACTCAGGCAATCAAATTTACCAGTGATTTCCTTCAAAGACATACACCCCGACTTTGGAAATACCTCTATTTCCTATTTCATAAGCAAACACAGAGTATGATGCACAAATCTAAAGATACTCCCATTGTGCATTAAAAGCACAACTGGACAAACTCCAACAATTTGAGAACTGTGTTTCTCATCTTTGTGAACCAGAATTACTGAAATGCTCATGATAAATCTAGCAGCAATTACAAAATATTCGAGAAATAAGAGTTCTTTAATAAAAGGCAGAAAGAGCAAAGATTTTTTTTCCTTGTAGAATAATAATAAACATATTCTTACAAAGACAAGTTTCCTCCAGATTCCATACCAATTCTGCAGAGGATGTCAACATGATTTACAAAGCAAACTGGCAGAAATAGTTTTAGGATATCTATTATAGATTTAGAATCCCATTAAATAAACGATATAGGAAATAATGCCACTTAGAAAAACTCTCCAGCTTGTCAGGACAATTACACCTCATAACAGTATAGCACAACCATTCTTCCCCTCTAGTTAAGTAAGCTGTGATGTACAAAACCGAGGTTGTAGTAAACACAACCCAAAATATATTCCAGTTGAAAGGACGGATTTACTTTGTTCAGCCTGAAGAAACAGTTAATGCAAAGAGCTAAAAAGGACCCAGAATAAGATACAAATGGTATCACTTTAAAAGGTGTCTATATGTCTAAATGTTTTTATCATCATTTAATTCTAAAAAAGCTACCAGGGAAAATTCTTACACTCTGCAAAGCATATTTTTCTTCACTTGAAAAAGAATCACACACATTTAAAAAAAATGCTTACCCTGAGAAGTTCTGTTCTCTAAGACAGGTTTTGAGAACTTAAGGTTTTCCAAGTATAGTTTTATGGTAGACTAACAGTTGCTTCAAATTTTATTAAAATATTTTAAGACAATGAGCAAGTATAGTCTCATTAAGTTGGGCCCTAGAAATTTTATTTGAGTCTGTGGTGGCTCATACCTATAATCCCAGCACTTGGGAGGCTGAGGCAGGAGGACTGCTGTGAATTTCAGGCCAGTCTGGGTTACACAGTGAGTTCCAGGCTAGCCTGAACCACACAGTGAGACCCTGTTTCAAACCCCACCCTTCAAACAAAAACAATTTTTTGGTTTTTTTTTTTTATGTGTGTGTCCCAAGTAGTCCAAGATTACCTAATAGTGGTACCAAGGAATGTGTAAATTAGTATGTGCACACAGACTAAGTTATGGTTTCCCAAACTATGTAAGACATATAAGATGGAAAGGCTATTAGGAAATAAAAAAGGAATGTGTCAGTCTTTGTACAGTTCTGGAATGTTCAAAATTGGCAAAGCTAAGGGAAGTCAATCCTGCCTTCACCCAACAAGGAAGAAAAAAAAAAATCTATTGTTTTAGATCCAAATTCATTCCAATCAGTGCTGCTTCTAACCCTTCTCTCCTCCTATGGCAGCACACCCTCTCCATCTCCTACCCCTGACCCCTGCCAAAGGAAGATGCTCCCAAAAGCCCCTGCCTGTTCCAGCAAGAAAGGAAGAGAACTAGGAGTGATAGAAACATCTTGGGGCCAGGACTCACTCATCAGTCACTTGACAAACATTTAGTTAGTGCTTAATACATGCCAGACACTTGTCTTGGTGTGAAGGAGACCACAAGGAACATGAAGATTATGCTCCTGTGTTTATGGAACTTACATTCGTATAAGGCAAGACAGATAATAAGCAAATACAGCAATAGAATTCCCGACAGTGGGACACTCTCTAAAACACCAAGCACAGGTTTGGAGAATGGGAAGAGGGTCAAGGATAGATGCCCCACAAAATGATATTTGAACAAAAAATGAATGGTAAGAAAGATCTGGGTAGGCTGACAACAGCCAATACCAAGCCGCTGAGGCAGAAAAAAGCCTGATTTAGTTCAGCAAGAGACGTCAGGTGGCTGAAGAGCACTGGGTGGCACGGGCAGAAGAAGGAGTTTGGATTCTAAGTGCAAGTGAAAAAGACGTGTTGGACACAACTAGCACAGCACTGCTCTGCCTGGTGAAGACCGGGCTTGTGGCCACCACTAATTTGCTTTCTTTTCTGCACCCCCGTGAGAAGGACTGCAAGGTCGGTGAGGGCAGAGCTTGGACGCACATCTGACGTTACACATCTAAAACTGCACAGCACACTGCAGGCACTTGAGAAATAGAGACAGGCTCAATAGGATGAAAAGATGAAGGAAGCAGGAAGTAAAGACACGGTTAGCACATGAAATACGTCTCCAGTGCAAGATGCTTTCCAGAGCACAAAGACTGCCTTGCAAATATTAACTGACCCTGGCATTATTTTCAATGAGATAAACAGAAATCTGGAGTTTAAGTGGTGGAGTTGCCTCTAACCTCATAGCCACCCAAGCTCAAGGAGGAACACTTCTTTAGTACTATCCTCTGTACACAGGTAGCTTAAAAATCACTGGTTGCTCACCATCTTAGTTTTCCAGTACTGTGCAACACTAGAATTATTTCTGTTTCTATTTAATAAATGGGAAAGCGAATTAAAAAGAACTCAAAACACAAAAGCCCAACCCAACACAAATAACTTACTCTCCAGTTGTGGAAACATTGCTGACTTGGGATACATGAGCGCTGCGGAAGAGAAGAAAAGAGAAGGAAAGTTAGCTGCAGGTTGGGCACAGGATCACAGATGCGGACCCGCATGTCCGGGGGAATCACAGGCTGAAGGCTCAGCCAGCACCTCCGGGCCCGCACGCGACGTTTAACGTCCCCTGCTGGCTGCTCATTCACACCCGTTTCTGGGCACAGAAGTGGCCCTGGGTGCCCATTCCCGAACAGTGGCCTCTTCTCCTTGTGGAGACGTCCAGCACAGACAGTTTCACAATCGACCTTGGAACACCATCTCTTTGCTCTCACCTACTGCCGCAGACCTGGTCTTTCTTTCCATTTTCTCGAAGTGTTAATGCAAACCCTGCTGCCCACCTACCTGTTGCCGGTCCCACTGATTTGCTGCTGTCTCCACCCTAAATTCACCCATCCCCAGGCCTGCAGACAGAAACATCTCTGTAGAACTGCTCGGAACAAGTGGGAAGCAGCAGGGACCACAGGGATAGAGAACAGAGAACCAGTACTATTTCAACACAGTTATTTCTAAACTGCCTCTTCGAGGTCCCCCTTCCTGCTGAAGGTCCTCAAGAAGGAAACTGGCTGGCTGTCTTAACAGTTGAGCATTTATAAATTCCCTCTTCTTCCCTATATTCTCCAAAGTCTGAAGTCTTTTGAAAGAATGAGAAAGGGGTCAGCATAGAATGAAAAAAGTACCCAGCACTGCGGCGGCGCGCCCTGAGTGCCTATGCTCTGCTTTCACATAACACAGCCAAGGGCTGAGGCCGGCAGCTACTTGCAGGGTCCTGAATCATCATTTTCTCCCACAATGGTCCCTAGTGCTTACCTTCAAACGTTGTTACGTGTAAAAGAGGTTTAAGCACTGAGCAGATCAAAAAACTTATGAATAAATTATAGTTTGACAAACTATAGTTTTACCTCACAGTTCTGTCCTTTTTCTTCCCCATTTATAGAAGACAAGTGAGAAAGATCAAAGCTATTGTTAATGATCAATACTGATGGTTGCCTGTCAGTCTCTCTGAATATCTTCATGTATCCTGTATAATTTTCAACATATGAACACGCTGTTTTGGCCTCAGCTCTGAGGCTTTTCTCCAGTGTTAAATGTGCATTTCCATTTCCCATCCAGCACTGAAGCGTCTCAAGGGGTTTACATGATAGTAGGCGTTTTCTCTCACTGCGCTCCTTACCTCTGCCACCACCATACCCAGCATGGTGCTCAGTACCCCAGAGGTGCACAGTGAACACACTTTAGCCTACATCATTTGCTTTAGTTCAAGTTGCAAGTCTTTGCTGTGGCCACTGACATGGAAATCATAAAATCATGCTTTTGTACAAAAGGAAGCCAATTTGACCAATCCTAAAATAAGTAAATACATAAAAATGCCCTAACATGTTTCAGACACTGTGCTAAGTACTTTTTACATAGATTTTCTCATTTATTCTTTATAATCGCCCTGGGAGGTGGGCACAACTGTTTTCAGATGAGATTAAGGGGTTGAATAACTAGTCTACAGCCATATAGCCAAGAAATAGATGAGCTGGGATTTGACCCAAGAGTCTGAGCTCTGTGCCTCTCTTAATGACTGTGCAACTGTCTTTCAATTCATTACTCATGAGAAGCAAAACACACTGCCATCCTCTTTGTATATGGAGGCCCGGATTTACTATTTCACTTTGCTTTTCATCACGGCTGTTTCTCCTCTGCCTCCTGCCGCCCGTTCTTCACAGCACAAAACCAACAATAAATCCCGTGTGGCTCTCAGTCCTTACTGGAACAGGCCGTCCCCGCTTTTGATGTTTTGTGGCTCACCCTCTGTAAATGCAACACTGTACAATTAACTCCTATACTCCGGGTCTCAGTACGGTTACACAATCTTGGTTGTGGGACAAATGTGAATGATTTGGGGGAAATCAGAAGAGGAAAAGAATACAGTCCTGCTAGATGCTAAACAACATTCCAAAGATAAATCATTAGCCAGTTAGTCCCCGTGGATCCTAGAATGAAGAGCTGTATTTCCTCCCCTCCCTTTTACACTTTTGACCTACCCTTCTTTTGGCCTATGAAAGCAGACCGATGTATTTTTTTTGTTTGTTTTTGCAGGGCTGAGGAGCCAATCCGGGGCCTTGCACAAACTGGCAAGCACTCTACCAGTGAACTATAACCTCCAGCCCCAGACTGATTTTGTTGCTGTTGTTCTTTTTTTAGGGTGGGGAGAGGCAAAGAAAAGTGAAGAAGAAAGAGAGAAGAAAAAGGCAATAACGAGGGTCAGATTTTCAGGTTTCTGTCTAAGTAAGTGGTTTTCAAACCCCAGTGTCTGTAGGAATCCCCCAGGACTTGTTAATCTGTGCACATACTGCGATTCAGGAGGTCTCCGTCTAAGGAAGGAGAAACTAAGGGTTTTTTAAAATTGGTGTTGGAGATGGAACCCAGGGCCTCACATACACTAGGTAAGTGCTCTACCGCTGAGCTACATCCCTGTCCAGATTCTGCATTTTAAATAAACTCTCCAGGGATTTGGACGCTGTGGGTTTACAGAAGACACTTTGTATAGGGACGTTCTTGATCCTTTCAACTAAAAATTCCTTAAAAACTCACTACTTTGCTATCACATGGCTGTTTTCAAACATTCAAATCAAGGAAAGTAATAAGGGTAAGACAGGAAAAACTTCACGCTCACCTTGGTGAATGAAAACACACTACATTAAAATTTCCTCCATAGCTTAAAAGAAAAATGGCCTGAGTCATCTCAGTCAATAGTACAGTCTTCCTCAGGAGGCAGAAGTCAATAAATCAATAGTTAAATCACATTCATTTTGCCAGTGTATTTATTTTAGATCAGAGTTATGATAAATTTATATTTTATGTTTTTAATAGTTCTTTGGAGTTGCTAGTTTATGTAACTTGTTTATAATTCCACGCCTTTTAATGAATTATGAGAAAAAAACATTTCCAGTTGGGAATCAGAAAATGAAGCTGTGGTCTTGGTTCTGAAGTTCATTGTCTGAAATCATAGGCAGGTTGTTGGTTAGCTTTGCGGCTTTGGACTGGTTTCTTCATACAGAAAATGAAAGGTTGGTGAGGGATCTCTGTGGTTTCATTTAACTCTAAAGTTTATAAAACAACCTCAGATTCAAGCTTATTGGCCTAAAGTTTAAGTCATTATAAAACACACATTTAGTTTTATGACACAGTATCAGCCACGTTTATGGTTTATTAGATACCAAAAGGTGTTTAACAATTCACCAATAACAAGATTTCTATAAAAATTTAATGATAGCAATAAGAAATGCCATAGCTATATTTGACTCATGGAGGAAATTCTAAGATATCCAAAAAGCAAAAAGTATCGAGACAATAAGCAAACAAGTTAAAGAGAAAGATCATAGTTTCTTTTATCTACAGGGGGCCTGCTTTTTAACCTCACACACAAATAAGAATACATTTTTCATATTGACTTGGTGAGAGAGTTTCTTATGCTCTATCACCGTGGGTAATGGAAGAGCTCATTTCCTAGTGTTGATAAAGCAAGCATTCAAAAGTGAAAAAAGTAAGCTCATGAGCAAACCCCAACAGTGGTGCTAATTTCATTACTTAAGCCTATTTTACGGGTGATGATGAAACTGGATATTCTATCATATGGCCACTTAAAATAGATTCTAAGCCTACTTTGAAATACATTCTATAACATATTTACATGTGTTTAGTATTTATTTCTGTTAGCAATATTAAAACTGTATTTCCCTAGGCTATTATGCTCAGCAATATTACCTCTAAAATTTGTATGGCCAGGTATGGTGGCACATGCCTGTAATCCCAGCAGTCTAAGAGGCTGAGGCAAGAGGGTCACAAGTTCAAGCCTAGCCTCAGCAAATTAGCAAAACACTATTTCAACATAAAAAATAAAAAAGGGCTAGGGATGTAGCTCAAACTGAAGATGCAGTGTTCAATTATAGTACCAGAAAAAAGTACATATAAGATACACAGATGCCTCTCTACAAGTGATTCTTTAATTAGATCTCTTGATTTGAAATAAAGTAGGATACACATAGAAAAGAAAATTTACCATATAGTTTATTTGGGACACAAAATACAGCATGCACACTTTGCCCCATATGCATTAAATGTGTTATTATCCACATATGTCATTGACAATGAAGATCAAAATACCTGACATTTCATTTCCAGGGACACAAATTCTGTCACTTAAGTATGAGTACAGAAAGGCACATGTGTGGGAACATTAACACACAGAAAAGCACAGGATAGATAAATGTAGTGAAATCAATGGACCAGTTTTCCATATATATGGAGAATCTGCAGCTGGGCGTAGGAGTACATGTCAGTAATCCCTGCACTCTGGGAGCCTGAGGCAGGAATAGTGCAAGTTTGAGCCCAGCCTGGGTAACCTAGTAACTTAGTGAGACCCTGTTCTAAAATTAAAAATTCAAAAAAAGGCCTAGGGGGTTTAGCTCAGTGTGAAGGCCATGGGTTCAGCATCATGTATCATATTAAAAAAAAAAAATATATATATATATGCCTAAAAATAAAAAACTTTGGGTACAATTAGGATAGATACAAAAGTAAATGAATAAAACCCAAATCCATCAAAAGAAAGATGTTTCAAATCTACAAAACCAGGCATTTCTGAAAAGCATATATTCTGTGTTCTTTTATTTCAGAATGCCCTTTTCTGGAAGATATATAACCCTGCCTGCAAAATATTACTGTTTTAATAGAAATCACAAATTGTCATTTCTCTCTAGAATACAAAATATATTTACTTGGTACCTTTTAATGTGTAAGGGTTAAAAGGACAATTACATGGTGTTTGTTTAAGCTATGGATGAAGATCATGTTACTAATCATAAAAACAAGAAACTCGTCTCTACTTAGCAACGCAGAGTTTTCAGTATCATCTTAAAATAGTGAAAGTTGATGTGCAATGCCAATATTACAGGTGACTGGAACATTATTTACTTGTATTGTACAAAGGCTTTCTAAA